CGGTTCTGGCGAGCTAAGAAAATGTTTATCTGCCTGAGCTTGGCCTTCATAATTCCATTCTATCACAATCACTGCTCTGATAACCTTCAGTTCTTTTATTCTTTTCAATTCTTCAGCATTTTCACTTAACAGCACTTTGCAACAATGCTTTGCCGAAGTTACTGGTAGTGCTGACGGAATGCATTTCTAATTTTCCGATACGCTCAAAAATCCCACATCCTAGAGTCTGTATAATGACTTGGTACTCATTTGGGATTTTATGAGGCCTTCAGTGCTCTGCATTACTCACCAAGATTAAGTATCAGTTTTAGTCTCTCAGCTACATCCAAACTCTGGAACAGCTTTCTGCCCTAAAGGCAACAATAAAGGGTGATTAATGAAGCACTATTATGAACTGCATAGTCATTATGTGTACTTAAATCATGTATTAACAGAGACATCCGTGATGATAATTGTTGTTGTTTTTTTAGCAGACCTCAGCAAAATGAGTACAGTCATAAGAAACTATTATTCCAGTTTCAAAGTTATGCTGAATATCCTCTGGACCGTAACATGCGGGGAGGGGGGGGGCAGTGCAATAGTTGCAACAGTTTCTGGACAAATCCCTAAATCTTACCAAGACTGTAGATTGTTATTCCTTTTTCTACATGGATTTATAATTAGAATTTTACCTATCCAAAGATGCTGAAACTTTGCCTTCCTTTTGGTTTAACATTTCAATGGTTGAATGAGTATCCATCAAAGAAAGAACTCCATGCCACTATGTCTATTTCTTTTTAAATTGTTAGACATGTCTAAAATAGAAGAAATGCTAAGAACCCCCACCTCCAAAACTGGAATAACCGAAAACATTTTAAAAACCCTGAAAAGATAGATTTGAAGATAACAGAGTAAAAGACAGGCTGCAGTAAAAGGCCATCCAGAATCTTCTGGAATGGGTGGATATAATACATTTGATAAAGGAAAAAAAAAGTTGTTAATCTTTTTCACATGACTGTAAATGAAAAGTTTACAAAGCATCTTGGGAGAGTATTAAAAAAAGACAGCTCAGGAAAACAATGTCCAATTTTATGTTTTTACACTCTCTCTCAAGTAAAATTATTTCCATTTTTAACTCCACATTGACTTTACCATATTTCTAATGTGCAACATTTTAAGTAAAAATACCCTTTGCCATAAAGGATTTCATGTATCCATTTCTTAAAATACTTTCTGCACGTTGTAATGCTGTAATTTGGAAGGAGGGAAGATTTTTACCTAGGTGCTACTTTTATAAGAGAAATGTTGTTTTTATTGGGAACTTGGTCTGAGTCTGAATACTCATTTTTCTTTTAAATTAAATGATTTGAAGAAAGTTCACTGTTAGAACAAAAACATAATTATACACAGCATGGCTCACAAATATCCTGAAAAAAGAGAAGGCCCATTCCTGAAGCTAGGGCTGCTCAAATGTATTGTCACCACTTTTGCCTAATGACCCCAAAAGTTCTGGTGAAGCTGAGAGTTGTGATCTAACAGGGAAGATCATGACTTATCAAAGACATAAAATCACGTGTTACATACCATACAAAGTTCAAATATTATAATACCAAGAGACCACACATCTGATTTAGGACGAGAAGGCAGTGCCTTTTCACTTTGCACGTGATCACTGCATTTAATAATTCCTTGCGCAATTACTTCAGGGGCCAGGTATGATGGGTACCTACAGAATGAAACAATAATTGATACAATGCCATAATTCAAGAGGCCTATACAGTATGTCCCTCCAACTTCTTTTTTAAAAAAATGAAAATAGGTCTTATTAAAATAAAATTTTGCGAAAAATATAATAGCAAGATGATACTGAGATAAATGATTCCTGCTGTCACATGGTCACACGCAGACACCAGCTTGAAAAGAAACATCATTTACGTACCGTAAGGGGAAGTGAAAATCTATTTTTAGTATTTATTTCCACAACACTTTTTACTGTTTATTGCCCTTAGACCAGTGCTTCCCAACCTCGGGAATTTTATGCTGGCTGGGGAATTCTGAGAATTGAAGTCCACGCATCTTAAAGTTCCCAAGGTTGAGACACACTGCCCTAGACAATGGGATAGGTTAACTTGTTTTCAAATTGTGCTTCAAACTTGGATGTTTTGGGGAAAAAAATACAATTCATTCAAGAGCAGGTGATGAGAAACAAACTGCAGAACTCATCTGCCAATGCCTATCTTTTTCTTTAGTGGACAGCCACAGTGACATATGAGTGTTTTTAAAAAATGTATTCCGTCCTTCAAGATCACTTGGTAGGCCCAACAGGTTTTACAGAGAGGCCATGAAAATTGAGAAGGTGCCTAAATTCACCAAGAGAGAGCATGCTTTTAAAAGCATTCCTGGGTCCACTGCAAAGGGCAACAAATAAGTGCAATACAGTCAAAGTTTTCAGAGTTGTTCTTTTTATTACACAAATTGCTAAATTCCTATTTTTTCGTTTTTATACCATTATGATTATTATTTCATTTTTTTCATTTCAGTTACATGATTTCATTAACTCAGTAGTGTGTATTTGTGCATGTGTCTGGGGGGGTGTACATACACACACACATATATTTTAATAAGCCATTTGGTGTAGCGGTTAAGGCACCAGGCTACGACCCGGGAGACTGTGAGTGCTAGTCCCGCCTTAGGCACAAGCCATCTGGGTGACCTTGGGCCAGCCACTCTCTCTCAGCCCTAGGAAGCAGGCAAGAGCAAATCACTTCTGCAAATCTATGCCAAGAACACTGCAGGGACTAGGCCAGGCTTTCTCTTCTAATTTGTCTAAAAGCCTATACTGAAAAGCATAACTACTTTTTAGCTATTCAATATTTTTCATTCCTACTGATTAATGTCAGATTAGGATGTGGAAGAGGCAGGTGCATATCCACAGTTAGGCATAAAGCTTACTACATTATCTCTCAGACAAAAGCTATTGCTGTTTGGGTGTGAGAATAAAATGGGGATGGAATAATTGTCTTTAAGCTTTTTGGAGAAAAGGTGTATAAAGTATAAATATAATACATACATACATTAATACTAACTGTACAGTTAGTCCTTGCTTAACCACTATTCGTTCAGTGACCGTTTGAAGTTATGACAGTGCTGAACGAATGGTAGTTACCATTGGTCCTTAAAGTTACGGCCATTGGGAAATTCTGGTCCCAATTAGGGTCGTTAAATGAGGACTATCTGTACTAAATTTTAATTAAACAGGAATCAAAATCAGCCTTAAACTGCACTGAAAATAAGCCTGTGTATGTGTGTTTGTGTGTGCATTCATTTCTACTTGTCACAAATGAGTGAAAAAATTTAGGGGACTGAATGCTTACATGTTATATCATGTTCATTAACTGTCAACCACAGTTAACAGTACATCTGCTGAGTCTGAGGAGAAAAAACTATTCTTATTCAGTCAAAAAAAGGCAAAGTTACTATGATTCTAATGAGAAACTGCTTTATTAAGTTTAATTTTGCCATTTCAACAAATTAGGTGGATTTTATTGTATGTGTAAGCAACACTGGAAGAACAGTAAACATTAATCTCAGTCAAATGTACTAGAACATCGTTCTTATAATGTTCACATATGATTTATAGTCATTTCAAACTAAATAACTTACCCTATAGGAAAGTCAACATCGGCACCATAAGCTGTCATATGATAAAGGCCAAATTTTGACAATTTAATATGTCCCTGTTAAATGGGGAAACAGAAAATATACCATTTAACTACCCAACAAAGTTTTCTGCCTTGTAGAATTAAAAAATAAACATTAATAAAAGCCTTGGAGGTTCCAATTCCTATGGACAAAATTTGAAAGAAAGACATTAGATGGTATAAAATTATTAATACTAATACAATACTAACTGTGGTTATTTTGGGGATCTTCACAGTGTTCCTCTGTTTCAAAGCTCAATGTTTAAAATGCACCAAAACATAGTTACGATGTTTAGGCCTATGACTAATTTCCATACTGTGGCTTGTTTCAAACATATCATATTTAGCCATGATTTGTGACCTTGGATTAAATAATAAATTGTGATTAATCAAAACTGGAAGATAATATTTTCCGAACTCATCACTTGAAGATAGAAAAACATTATGCATGACAACGTTCAAACACAACCTTTATTAAGTGAACAATTATTTGTTTCACTGGCATATTCCATCATAGAGCATACACACCACTTTTATACCCATACTATATGAGAAACAAAGTATTCTAAGGAAGGCTTTATTATACAGATCAGGGGTGGACAACCTTTATGGAATCAAGGGTCACGCTCCTTCAGGAGAAATTGAAGGCATCTCTATTGGGATTAGGCAGGAAACGAAGTGGGAAAAGGGGCATTCCTTTTAATCTACCTATTTCCTCTTCCACACACACTCTCACTCTGATAGTCACCCCTCTTATCTTCCTCTCTTTCTCTTCCAAATCCATCTATAGACATACACATATATGCTCAAACACATCCATTAAGCAGCCTAATTTTACTCTTTTCTGCCATTCAGCTTTCCTTCCATGCTGAATGGTTGGGAAGAGGCGTCATTTTCTTCCAGTCCTGAAAATAAAGGAGCAAATCTGGGGCCAATGGGGAAATCAGCACTAGAATTGCTCACGTAACTGCTTCAGGCTGTTCCAAGTGCCTCTGAGCTATCCACATATAATATATTCATGTACCAAGACTACAGACTAATAGCCAAAGAATAAAATCCCATAGCCTTACTTCTCCGTCCATGAGGATATTATGAGGTGAGAGAGCTCGGTGGACTATTCCATGCTTGTTGAGATACTGCAAGCCTTGTAGCACTTCAAAGGCGATGCACAATGTTCTAAAAGGACTGCAATGGAAGATTGCCACATTAGAATTCTTCTGAGACAACACAATATTGCCAGCTGACATTCTCATACCACATAGGGTAGGAGATTAAAAGAGTAAAGTCCAATTCGTATTGGGAAGGCTGCTATACACTGCTTTCATAATGCTTTGGGTTTTGATAATGTAATCTTTTATTGTTATATTTAATATGTTGTGAGTTAAATTGAAAAGCTATATGACAGCCCAAAGGCCTTCCAGGTATTTACCATTAAGAAAATAAATAAAAGCAAGGATTAAGCTGGCATTGTGACGGGTGACTAAACTGGATTTACAAATCTTAGATTTCTTTTAGGTTTGAAAGCCTCCTTTACTCTGTAACTCAGAGTGACATCAATAGCACAATTTTATGTCTATTTATTCAAGTCTGAGTTAATTAAATCTGAGTTAATTAAATCTGAGTTCAGTGATTTACTCCACAGTATTACCACAACTTAGATAACAGAAGCAAATACATTTCACACTAAAAATGATAGCTACCTTTTTAAAATATGTGATGAATGGACACCTAGGGAAAGGAGCAATTACTCCAAAACTAACTAATTCAAACTACAAGAAAAATTATTCATACTTTATTTACGTGTTAGATTTCTATCCTGCCTGTCAGGAGATCAAGGTAACATACATGGCACTTCATCCCCCACTTTCCCCCATAACAATAACCCTGTGTGTGACAGAGACTGATCTGAAAGGATGATATGAGCTATCAACACTGGTACAGGGTACCCAGCAAAATGGTAGAAATCTTATATGCTGGGGCTGGATTTTCTCATTTGTCAGGGATACTGTGGTACTAATGGCAGGTGAACTACACATTGTCTAAGGTCCTAACTCTGTAGTGAGAGCATTACTATACACGTGGGATGTTTTATTTGATCCCCAGAATTATGAAATGTGTATATGGGAAACTGTACCTTACTGAGACACTAGAGGGCCTCCTTTGCATATGTATTGTCCACAAAAGATACTGTGGAATCCCTAAACCAAGAACATTTTCAGGAGTCAATATACCCCCAATTCCATATTCTCCACAGCTTAAATTACAAACATGACATTAACTGTTCAAGTGAAAGATGTAATGGATTTGTTAACTGAGGATTTCCTTACGATCTGATAAAGGCATTATTACCATTCCCCTGGGCCTGGCCAAGTCTTCTACAGGCACCTAGATCAACCTACCTTATGCTAGAACATGTGCAGGTTGTGGGGAAGAAATCAGCATTTTTCATATGTTCTCTCATGAGAACGTCTCAGTAAAGAACTCTATCAATAATTACTGGGAGGAAAATAGGGGATGACATAAGCAGACAAGACGACTCTAAAATTTCCTTTTTTAAAAGTGCGTCTGTTTTGTTTGCATAAGACCCAAAACATAAAACAACTCTAATTGGATGCAGAGATGGTTGCAGAGTTTACAAGTAAGCCTAAAATCATACTACTTGAGTAATGAACTGTCCCACATAGATCAATGGATAATTACTGGATGCAAAGACTCAAAAAGTGGATCTTTTTAATTATCCTTCCTAAATTTTATAGTTACATGATTATGTGTGCCCATTGAAAGTTTCCTCTCGTTCCCAGCTCAAAAAATGTAGATTTAATTGTATGAAAACCAGTTCTACATATAGAATCCAGTTAGTGGTCAGCAAACAGAACATGAACACCTTTTTAAAACTCCTCCCCCAAATCTATAGCAGAAAGATCATTTATTTTCCTTTTCCCCAATAAGAAATTTCGATCATTTGGAAAAAATACTAGGCTACCTGATTAAAAAAAAAATAATAAGACTAACTAAATCCCTAATGCTTCTAGCCATTTAAAATTCATATGCATTTCTGGGCCTCTCATCCTTACTAACTGTAGCAAGAACACAAAGACAAAAAAAAGAACTGAAAATTATATCACATGCAGTTATATTATTTATCCATCAAACTCAATACTTTTAGTCTTTCATGTCAAAGGCCTTTTCTCACATTGAATTGGGATTGGGATTTTCTATTTGTAAAGCATCTATTTATCATACATGCCAATCAGGTTATCTCCTTTGAGTAAAGAATGTGCAAAGAAAACCAAAGAAATTAAAGGCATAAAGTAAGAAAACACAACAGAAATAAAGGTAATTTTGGTTGAGCGTATATAGAATTGACAAACACCCAGGTTACCACATAATATCCAAGGTTCTGTTCCCCCAGCCCACCCTTTGGTGGAAATGTGGTAAAGAGATCCATTTTGAGTGCAAAAAAATTTAAGAAGACTATAGACTTTGAAGGCTGAATTAGCAACACATTATTCTCTATATTTAGGGATAATTTTTACTTATTTCCCACCTCAATTTTATTTATAAGAATAAACAATTGAATGACTCAAATTTTAAAAATACATATTTATAAAAGTTACACATTTATGTGATGGGAATATACCCTTTGCCCACCCAAAACTAACAGCCAATGCAAGGAGGCAGAAAACTCTGTTTCCACAGGGACAGTAATGCATGCTTTCAAAACATGGCCTCAGATGACCCAGGTAGGAAGACCCTACCTCTTTCACTGAGGGAAGTGGTTGTAAAGAAAAACAAGAAGTTCTAATGTTAAAGTTTCACTTGTGAACATTTCAGCTGCATTGCACAATTTTTATGTCCAATAGCTGTTAACTTCCTGAACCCCTTTGGTAACTCAGAGTGAATCTATATTTATAACATTATTAATACAAAATTGTACCAATAGTAAGAACATCTTAAACTTACTCATACCTGCTTCTTATTAACTTTAAACTTTCCTTATAGAATATAGATACATTTAAGTCCTATAGATGAAACCTGTAAAATCCAAAATCGATCAGTAATCTAGAACTATGCAAAAATGTCAAAGAAAGGACATTTTTCTGTGCTGATCAACTACTTCTTGCACAGATCATTCCTGTCTTATGGGATTTAACCATGCCTGTTTCTGGTCTAAATCTCTTCTAGGCTATAGCTTTAGGTTCAACACATATCAGGCAGAATCTGAATATATGAACAGAGAGGGAGAAAACAGCCAAGTCCATATTTACAATTAATGATGAAAAGGTAAATGTAAAGCACTTCTCTCTCAGATACACATGCATCATTTCAACATTAGCCAATATTTCATTTTGTATTTTGTGGCATACAAAATACACTATTTTAAGTGTACTGTACAACAGTTCACCTATATATAGGAGCAGAAATTCACTCACATAGTATACCTCTATTTTATTATTTGAGATTCCTTGGCATACTTCCATATTCATATCCATGTACTGAATGGGAATGACCATACTTATTTCATTTTTATTGAATTACTGAAAATATGAGGCCCAAATTAGAGAAAAGAGTTTACAAAATATAACCAATTCCTACCACTAGCAAAATATTCCACAAATGACCCCATAAGTGCAAAATAAAGAAATACTCAGCATTTGAAAAACAGTAGTCATACAATCTATACCTGGCATGTTTGCTTGAAAACAAGCCACTCTGATTCCCATTTAAGTGTACACAGAAAAGCAAGCTTAGAATACCCAAGGGAGGTTTGGGCTAATTGATTTGAGTGAGGACATCTATCTTTAGCATTTATTCTGTGGTTTGTTTTATTGCTATGTTTTCTTTATTTGCTATTTATTCTCTCCTGAGTCCTTTGGGATGGGGCGGTTATAAGCACTGTATAAAGAGAAAAAAGAAAACAAAATAAACAGACCAGACCTCTATTTGAGAGGCTTTCCAATGCAAGACCAGCTAAAAACTGAGGAACCATAAGAAAGAAATCAGGGACCCTGATGCTGCCTGACAACATTTAGCACTGTGCTGTGGATGGACCAGGCACAGAGTTAGAAATCTAATTCATTTTACTCTCATTTGGAAAAACAACTACATCACAATAATTATGTCAACATTTGTATCTAGATGCATACACTAGCATATAAAATGTTGTTGTCTTTTTGGCATTGTATAAGTAAAATGTTTAAATGAGTAACTTATTTCTCTTCATTATTTATCATGATCTGGATTATTATTTCTTTAAAAATAGTCCTGGAGTGATCAAGATGGTGCCCATGGATCTTTCCATTGGTGACTTTTAAAGCCCTTGGTGCCATCATCTATTCTACATGTCCTCAAAATTCCAAATGTGCTCACTGAGAAACCACTTGGACAATAACTAACCAATGGAGAATTTGTCTATAGTTACACCTCATTTGAAATGTGCAGCCCTTTACTTCTTCAAGAATGCCAATTCTTTCCCTATTTTGAAACTAGATGCAACCATAACATTAGCCTTTACATTTAAGGTATGTGCAACTTTTAAAATGATGGGAAATTATTTTTGCATAAGGCAAAAAGCATTTGAAAAGGAAGTATTTTCCTCAGGGTTTTAGTAGAGAGAAAAGAGTTAAATCTCTCTCCTCACCTGATGTAAACACAATAAATAGTCTGTTCCCAGCAGCTGCTATTTGCACATTAAGTGGTAACAAATTTCTCCTAAACTGTGTGTAAAAAAATTATGGATAATGGAGAAGAGGCATTACTCTCAACCACTTCTGAAACAGGAAAAATAAAATCTTGTCAAATTCAAAGATCTGTTAAGTAAATACTACCATACGAATAGAATACCTACTAAATGTGATTATTAAATCCTTAGCACACTATCATCTTTTCTTTGGGCTGCTGTCGGATACAGGAACACAGCACTTAAAAAAAAAACAACTGCTAAACAAGTACAACAAAATGGGATGGACAAGTTGTTAGACTCAATGTAATTGCTTCTTACGCCAGGTAATTGCTAGCACAGCAACACAGAGAACTACAAAATCCAGTAACGCACAAAGGGAAAACAGGACAATAAATAAAAGCCAAGACATTCAGCTTTTTTATTTATTGTCCTGTTTTCCCTTTCTGTGATACTGGGTTTTGTACTTTTGTGTGTTGCTGTACTAGCAATTACTTGGAGTAAA